TATTAGTCTCCTGCCCAAGTTTTCCAAATGGAAATTACAAGTCAAAGGGTCAACTCCATTAACTAAACACTGTTTAAACTCAAACATATTAGCACTAATCACATTACATTAATCACTTAATTAGCATCTTAATATAACTAAATCCCTTCTCTCTTTTACATGTATATATAAGCATAGGTTGATAGGTGGTCATTTCATAGCCTTTCCTTCTCTCTTTGGAGGAAAAGATGGACGTCCGGAAAGGCCCTTGGACGGCGGAGGAGGATTCCATTCTCTTCAATTACGTTAATTCCCACGGCGAAGGCCGCTGGAACGCCGCCGCTCGCTCCGCCGGTCGGTGTCTCTGATCCTTTCCCCTCGTCGGAGTTCCGACAAAGAATTTGCTGACCTTTTTTTTTTTTTTTTGTTGTTTTGTTGTAGGTTTGAAGCGAAGTGGTAAAAGTTGCCGATTGAGATGGCTAAATTACTTGAGGCCGAGTGTTAAGCGTGGGAATATCACCCTCCAAGAACAGCTATTGATTCTTGACCTTCATTTTCAATTGGGTAACAGGTGGGTGATCCAAGTTTTGAAATTTATATCCTCTTTTTTTTTTTTTTTTTTTCATTTGGGTATTGGTTAAAAATGGAGTTTCTTAATAACCCATATCAAAAAATGGAGTTTTCTTAATAACCCACATAAAAAAATGGATTTTTCTTAATAACCGAGGTAGAGTTTTCTTTGTTAGATGAACACGACTCTCCACAGTGGTATGATATTGTCCATTTTGAGTATAAGTTCTCATGACTTTGCTTTGGATTTTCTCGAAAGGCCTCGTACCAATAGACAGAATAAATTATAAACTCATGATCATTCTTAGATTATGTGTATTATGGAGTTTTCTTAATAACCTATATAAAAAAAATGAATTTTTCTTAATAACCCACATAAAAAATGGAGTTTTCTTTCATAACCCACATAAAAAAAATGATGTTTTTTTTTTTATTTTTTTTTATTTTTTTTTTATTTTATGAAGAATGCTTTCTTATTGGGTCAAGAAGGGAACTTTCATTGTTTTTTTTAATAAGTAAAGTGGAGAAAAAGTGATGGGTATGGAATTGGAATAGGTGGTCCAAAATAGCACGTTATTTACCAGGAAGAACAGATAACGAGATAAAAAATTATTGGAGAACGAGAGTTCAAAAGCAAGCCAGACAACTCAAATATGACGTGAATAGTAAGGGATTTCGAGACACCATGCGATACGTATGGATGCCTCGTTTGCTCGAACGAATCCAAGCCTCAACCGACTCAATTCCCGTCATTTCCATTGCCATTGACTCTGATGTCGATCAACCCCCACAATCACATCTTGACCCAACCCACTCATCACCTTCCAAGTCTAGTTGGGTCAACTCTCATGTGGCTTCTACAACTTCCATATCAAATTCAATATCCGACCAGGTCCTTAAATCACATCTCTATCTCTAAAAGAACTAGTAAATGATACATTACAATATATAACTTAATCTTTTATGCATGTTCAAACACAGGTCCAACTTCAAGTTTCGCCTGTTTCAGACATAGTTGAGAACTTCAAGTTGATCGATACAAGCGAGAAGGACGAGATGGTCGTGCTAACGGATCAAGGCTACGATAGGGATACGATGAACGAATGGATAGGTTGGGAAGAGTCATTGGAGAATGGGTTATGGAATGAACAAGACATGTTGTTCTTGCAGCAACAATTTAGTGCCCAATTTGAATTTGATGACGTGACTCCAAATTCAAATTAGGGTTAATTTCCAAATGAATCAAGCAAATTGATCTTAAGTAGCTTTCTCGAGATCAAATATATTTACTTGAAGAGAATCTTTTCTATGATCGGGCTTGACCATGATTAATTTAAATAGTAAATTAAGTGAAAACCCAATTACTTTAATTAAAAATTTTAAGTGGCTCGATAATAAAAATTTCAAGCTAAGCGTGCTTAACATAAAGTAATTTTAAGTTTAATGACCTTTAAATTTTTTTCTCGAAAGCATATGAGTGAGAATAAAACATGCTGAAAGTACTCATATTGGTTTGTCGAGATAGTATTCGTTCTTACGAGTATTTCAAGACAAATAGATAATGAAATGACTAGTGTTGGTTTACAAGGATAGTGTAACAGCTCATGCCCACCACGAGTAGATATAAAACCGTGAGATTGATGATGATACTAATGGACCAAAGTGAATAATATTTAGTAGCAGTGAGCTTGAACCGTTAGATAGTAAACCAAATTAACGGGTTAGCACGTAATGGAAATTGTGGTTCCAAGCCTTTGAAAATATTGGCCTTACTTTCTAGATTATATAATGGAACCATAATAATTATCTTTGTTGATTAATTTTCCCATTACACTTAAGACTCTATTTTCTAATATATTTTATTTTCCATGCAAATCAAGAAATTCAACCCTATGTCTTACAAAGACTTTTATGTTTTTTTTTTTTCCCTTAAGACCCGATCTACGAACAACATCATTATGACTCGATTATGACATCAATACAGGGATCAGTTCTACACGTTCATGTCAAACGCTCTATTCATAGTTTAGAATTGATGAATGAATTATGTCGTGTTCATATATATATGTACTTCACTTTAGAGATGCAAATATCAAAACTGAACGTGTTAATTTACTAGGGGTGTACATGAATTAGGTTGAGTTGGGTTGGTGAGCCACCGCTAACAAATATTGTCTGGTTTGGCTCGCTAAGTATCGTCGTCAGGCTCATGATTTTAAAATGAAATACACTCTTATATGGAATGTTTCGTTTCCTTCTTTAATTGATGTGGGATCTCACAATCCACCCTTTGGAGGCCAACGTTCCGCTGGCACACTGCTTGATGTCTAGTTGTAATACCATTTGCAACAACTCAAGCCTACTGCTAACATATGTTGACCACTTTGGCCTATTAATTAATATTTTAAAACACGTCCATTCTCTTATATAAATATTTTATTTCCCTCCCAACAAATGTGAGATCTCTCGTTAATTACTAAAATTTCATAAAATTCAAATATTACGATAGAATAATAATAATAATAATGTATATATTATTTTTTTTGGTTTGAAATTATAAAATTATTGACAAAATAAGAGATGGGGTATATGCCGTCATCCTTACGTCATCGTGACCACTATTTCCACTAAAACCCCAATAATAAAATTAAATATTTTATATTAATCTCTAAACAAACATTTTTGTAATGGATTTTCACGTCACACACACGTCAAAATATTAATAGTTTTTGCTAAATATTAAAAATATATATTTTTTTATAAACAAATGTAATTTAATTAATTTCGAGAAAGAACAAGACTGTTACCCGAATTCTTGATGAGGTTACCCCATTGTCGATGAGGAAGATGGGGTACTAATGATCGAAGTTTGATCACTGGTGCTTGATAACACAACGTCGTTCGATAAATAATATGAGTTTGAATAAACTCTACAATATTCATTTTTTTCGTTTCTGAGATCCCACTTTAATTGAAGAGATGAACGATGCATTCTTTATAAATACTTAGAAACGTTTTCTTAACAGACTCGTTAAAACTATGAAACCGAGACAATACGTAACAAACCAAATGAGACAATATTAATGAATCACACAGTATAAAGGAGGAAATTTTCAAGGCCAAAGAAAGGTTTGTCCAAGCAGCTTCCATGTCTTCTTCAACTCCTCTTCATCCTCCATTGTTACACAGCTAAAGAACTCAAACCCACTCCCATTTTCGGACCCATCAAGCCCCCTCTCAAAGCCACCAACCCCTTCGAGATCGTTGTCGTCGTCGTCATGTCCATAGACTCCAATTAATGCCTTCAATAACACCAACAAGGACGCCATTTTCGTCGTTCGAAGCCTCGAGCTCTTTGATAAGAACATGAAAGCTTGAAGGAGGAGATAATATTTTCATGGTGATATATATATATATATATATATATATATATAGTTGTTTATGGTGAGGAGTTGGTGATCTCCATGCCAAATCTTCCAAGGGGTCAATGAGGGTTGGACCGCTCTTAATCTTTTGGGTGAAGTGTTTGTAAGTTTTCCTAACAAAAAGTTAGGAAAATTAAGATTTAACTTCCGACCATAAGAAAATGTTAATACTCCGTTCGATCATCATTTGATTTTTGAAAATTAGGTTAGTTTTTTCATAATGCAAGTCAGACGGAAAGGAGTGTTTCCAGTGGCGGAAGGGTGAGTAATGCGTAAGAACTTGCCCTTGGGAGGGGACCAACAGCTGCTAATAAATACCTCGTACTTTGAGGAGCAAAAGGAGGAATCCGCCCGAGGAGGGGCTCGCGTCTGATTAGTTAGTTGGTGAGGCAATAACTTACCAAGGAGATGGTTAATAGTTGGTTCGAGAGGATGATCAGCCCCACTGGGACTGAGACACGGCCCAGAATCCTACGGGAGGCAGCAGTGGGGAATTTTCTGCAATGGGCGAAAGCCTTTTTCGATATTTCTTTTATTTCTCATCAAACTAATGACATCTTCTTTCGGAAATCATAGCGGTTCTTAGCATGATATTGGGGAATCTCATTACTATTACTCAAACAAGCGTGAAACGTATGCTTGTGTATTTGTCCATCGGTCAAATCGGATATGTAATTATTGGAATAATTGTTGGAGACTAGGTCAGGTCATATGGGTGAAGTAGCTCAGCGAATAGGGCTTCCGGTTACGTATAGAAGCTGATAGTTTAGGAGGGTCAGTCTCATTAAAGGGTGGATATGCAAGCATGATTACGTATATGATGTTCTATATTGCCATGAATCTTGGTATTAATAAAATAGAAAATATCATTTAAAAATGATTAAATTTAATTATATTATTTAAATAATATAAATTAGAAAAGAAGCTTAAAAGAAAAAACCCAGCCCAATTGTAAGCCCAAAAGTTCAGCCCACTTTATAAAATAAAAGAAAAATAAAATTTTAAAAAATAAGAGATCCCCAAGGATCCAACTTCTTCCTCCGAGTTTCACTCACTCTTCCCGCCAAAACCTCGCCATTGTCCAGTGCCGCCACCGCCTCCGCCTCCTCCTCCCTCCCACTCGGCTTTGCAAATCAGTGCATCGGTAACCTAACATATCTCCCTCCCTCTCTCATCGTCAAGTGCAGGTTGTTTTTGAAAGTATTTATGTTTACCTCTTTTTGCTAATAAATATTAGCAAAGAAGTGTTTATATTGATTCATGTTACATTAAATTTTATGTTATTAGCAATTGCTTGATGTCTTTCCTGTTTTTCGTTCCACCGCTTGATACCTTTGGATCTTGAGTTTTTGAAGAATCGCAATTGTAACTATTTAGGTTTGGTTCTTGTCGGATAATTTTGTTTATGTCGAATTAGGCGGAGTGGATTGAATTTTTCTATGTAATTGGTCCTCTTTGATGTTTTCTATTGGTTTCTTTAATCGAGAGCCTCAATGATCGATTGGAGAGGGGAACGAGTGTCGGTGAGGACATTGGGCCCCTAGGGATAGACTGTTAAATCCTATGTCAGTTGGAGAGGGGAACGAAACATTGTTTATAAGGGTGTGGAAACCTCAACCTAATAGATGCATTTTAAAAATCTTGAGGGAAAGTCTGAAAGAAAAAGCTCAAGGAGAATAATATCTGCTAGGGGTGGGCTTGGATCATTACACTCGAGGAATATGGAATGTGTTTTGGTTGGAACTAATAGACTTGATGCCATTAAGGGTGAGCTGGAGAAACTATTCCTGGATAAGGTTCGTGTAAAAAGTTGTCTGTAAACCTGTTGGTTAGCCCTATTCAATTTACTACGCTTGTACTGAGATGAACTTTGTCATGAATGTGGTTGCAAACTTGGGGCTCTGTATTTCTGTTTACGATATAAGATCGGTTGATAGGGGCTTTATCTTTCCCAGTGATGGCGTTGCAATGTACAAGGTACTCGTGCACTGTTGTATTTCTTCTTCAAGATTGAACCATTGAACCATTAAAGTTCCTTTGTTACCTAGTGTCAATGCAACATGTAATAGCTAAGCCTATCACTAAAAGATATTGTCTGCTTTGATCTATTATGTATCGTCGTCAACCTCACGTTTTTAAAATGCGTCTACTAGGGAGAGGTTTTCACACCCTTACAAGGAATGCTCCATTCCTCTCTCCAACCGATGTGGGTTCTCACAACATAGATGGATATGGGACTATGACGGTCAACCATATGACATATATGAAATGGATGAGGTTTGTGAATTATGTTAATTATAGGTTTAAATCTACGTTTAGTCCTTAACTTTTATACTTGTTTCATTTGGGTGCTTAAACTTTGAAGTGTTTTTGCGCCCATGATTGTTACTGTATCTCACTCACTCTCAACTTCTACCACTTCCTCTACTCATTTGCGCCAATCTTATTGATATGTGTGTAGTCAGAGGAAGACTGGTTTATAGTTGGGATATCAATTTTGATGAGTATGAGTACCCATCCAACAAGTTTTAGAATCTATTTGAAATGACTTTTCAACGTTTGGGAGACAAGGTCTAGAACACCAAATTTCACTGTCACCCCTAATTTATATCACAATATCATATCCTTTCCATTACGTAGCAACTACTCTATTAATGAGGCTTAGTTTTTTGTGGTGTAGGCAGCAATTGATTGTGATGGAGTGGGGACCTATTTCATGATGGAATGGCTCGGGAGATGCCGATGCTGAGGCCGAGGTCGAAGTCGAAGAAGATTCCTAAGGTCAACATCCTATTTTGCTACTATAACAAATTGGCATTCATTCATTCATACCTCTGTATTATATATCATTATCACTAGGCATGGGCGTGATAGTCCCTAGTTAGTACTCTTATCTCAACTTCATCTTGTATAAGAATTAGTATAGAAAGTGAGGAGATTCAAAGTAACTAACGAGAAGATAAAGCTTAGTTTTGTCATTGTTTGGTAGCAAGTCATTGTTGTGTAGGTGTACTTAAATCTTTTTGTATACATTTTGCCGTCCCAACAGTTCTATTTTGGCCTTCCTCAAAAGAATGCATATTTTAGATGCCCTTATTCCTTCAAATTTGCTATATACCTTTTAACTTTTCATCGACATTTTAAAATTATTTTGGAGTAGAAACCTGTTAGAGTCTTGGCCAAGAAGTTGATATGACGAAACGCCATTCTTTCTAACTTTAATCCATGCAACAAACATCCCTATCAACTTAGGTCATTCCAAATCACTACCAAGTCGGTCTTTCGTCTAGCATTCTAACCAATTATACTATAATGGTAGTTTTGAAACGTTTTATGAAATATCAATAGTATTATTGTGAGATCCCGCATCGATCGGAGAGGAGAACAAAATGTTTCTTACAAGAGTGTGGAAATCTTTCCCTAACAGACGCAGTTTAAAACCTTAAGGGAAGTCTAGAAGGGAAAACCCAGAGAGGACAATATATGACAGCCTGTTTGGATGGTTACAATTATTGCAACTTTTGAAAGATTAGAGATATTTTTCAAAGAGAGGGTAAAGTTCAAGGGTATTTTTACGATATAATAGCAACAAAAACAAGATCATAACAAATTTAAAAGTGATAAGGGCAAATGGATCAAAGTGAGACCTATATGTCAATACTTTTTGATGTTTCGACTATACATGATATAGAATACAACATCCAAATACATATATTATTTACAATCACTACCCCTATCTTTAAGCATTTGTCTTTGAACCCAAATGAACGTGTTCTTTTAAACCCTAATAAACATGATCATTAGCCTAATCAAACTATAAGTAGTTGTTAAGAAGCTTTGAAGAGATGAAGACGAGAGTCAGCTAATCTAAGAGAATAAGCAGCTTTCTTGTATTGAGCCCAAGTGAAAGGCTTATATAGAGATTGGTCCTTGGGGAGCATCATATCTGATGGAGGAGCTATCCATGCATTCAATGGTGGTGCCCCAAAGTACATGATTGACATTCTTGCCTTCTTTGAGTTGTTTGCCATTGCCCTATGCCTCACACTTACAAATCTATCATTTGTCATTGCCTGATCAAAAACAAGAACAAGTCTCAATAACCCATTTTGTAAATGTTTTTGCTTCTAATGTTCGTGATCATGTTTCGTTCTTTAGGTTTTAAGTAAAAAATCGATGTCTCGTTTGACACTAGACTTGTTACGTGCATCTCATATAATAGTTTTCATACTTTGATCTATTGACATAGAATTTACCTGAAACGCATCACCAATCAAGATGTAGAATGCAGACGGGTCGGGGCAAACAGGTGTCCACAACCCGTCGTGCAAGGAGATTTGGAGGCCATCGACATCGTTCGATCTCAAGATGGTCAAGATCTGAGGGTCAGAATGCTCCCCAAATCCAATGTTGTTAGTTGAAAGGTGGGATTTTGATGAAAGTTCCCTACTTTTTTCAGTGTGCTTGACTGCTGCAGGGTAGTAATTGATCCTCAAAACGGAATCACTTTGGACGTCTCTGATGAGGTTACTGAAGACAGACTTGTTTGGTAACCATAGACCCTCCCCCACCAGATCAAGAATCTCACATGCCAATTCTCTTACACTTTTAACGTACTCATTCACAACATAGCTGCATCAAATTAAGATATCAGACGACATGTCGACATAAATCAATGTTTCAGTTAAAAATTATATTTCTTTCCTTCTAGCTAAGCAGTACCTAAAAGCAAGAGGACTGTTAGAGATGGAGGCGGAGGTTTCAGCAATGGAAGCAGGGTCGGAGTGAAGAAGGATATACTCGAGGTCGCCGATGTCGCCGTTGGGGCCGATAGCTTTGCAGCCATAGCCGAAGGGGGCGGCAGGGCCAGCACGACGCTTCTCAGGCGCCGTTTGGCCAAAGAAATCAAAGGCTTGGCGTTCAAGATTCGCAATGGCATGGTCAGAAACTCCATGGTTGATGACTTTGAAGAAGCCAAAGTGCTGGCAGGCCTCGACAATGGATTTGGAAGTTCTTGCTCTGCTTTCGGAGAGATCTATGGTCGGAATTCCGACGGCCTTTGTCTTCTTGGACCTCGTGGCTGTCGGGAAAGGCATGGTTTGAAGAAAAAAAGGTTGAAGATTTGATTACAAATTTTGGTGTTGGTTTGGAGTTGTAGCCATGATAGAAGGGGGAGCAACCTCGTATTTATACAAGGCTTTTAGAGAGAGAGAGAGTTGTGAACTGATTAAATTAAAGGACAACTTGGGACAAGAATTATTTTAGAATATTAGGATGTTTTTTTTAATACATGTGATGAATATAAATTAAAAAATGTATATGTTTCCTCATTATTATTAATACAAAACCCAAAAAAATTTGAAAGGTACATTATGACTCATTAAATAATTTTTTTATTAATTTCTTATTATTTATACTTATGGCTTATAAAAGATAAATTAAATTTTTAAAAATAAAATAATTATCAAACGTTTATATTATAGTCATATGTATATTTCTTTAAAATTTTAAATGAAAATATTTATGCACATTTTATTACAAAGACTAGTTCATGATAATACATTTTGCCACTTGTCATTTTCTAAGAGAGTTACAAATAAAATAAGATGAAAATTACATAATAATTGCTTTAATTAATTAAGATAGGTTGTTTATTAAATTTTTAAAATCATTTATTTCGAATAGAGCTATGCCATAAACTTAGTCGTGCCAACAGATTGATAAATCATCGAATGTCGAACAAAGGACTCCAAAAGAAAAAGAGTAAACTCTCTTTGAAGGCATAGTAAAAAATGACTAATACTTCAAAGGAGTCAAGTCTCGATTAAGGGGAGGCGTACTTTGTTCGAGGAGAGGTGTTGGATGATGAAAGTCCTACATCGGCTAATTTAGGGAATGATCATTAGTTTATAACAAAGAATGCTCTCTCCATTAGTATGAGATGCCTTTTGGAGAAGTCCAAAGCAAAACTATGAAAGTTTATACTCAAAGTAGTGGACAATATCATGTCATTATAGAGAGTTGTTGTTCGGTTTAAATCAATTTTTTTTTAATCATTTAGAGGTTCGACCGATTTATGAACCAAACGTGACTTATTTAATTAATAATAAAGTGAAAATCCAACCTTTACGATTTTTAAAAATAAATTATTATAATCTTACCTAATCCAATATTAATTTTCACATAATCATTTTTTAGTTAAAAGCTACCAAAGTATTTGACTAGGAATTTGTGTAATTGAGAGAAAAAGACAACCTGGTCGCGGCTGTTTGTCTCCCGATGCTTGCATTCTTGTCACAAAAATTATTTATTTATTTATTTTTTTTTTAATTGAAAGCCAAAGTCTCCTCCACGTTGCCTTTAATATTTGACTTTTTCTCTCCGTTTGACTCCTTTGCACGTGCACCACCACCCCTCCCCTACTTTCTTAGGTCCTTCCCTTCCCCCTTATCCACACGAGAGAATCTTAGCCTAAATTATACATTATTTTTAGAGACGTTCCCACGACCCAACCGTAAGAAAAATGCCTTTTTGTTTTTGTCTTTGTCTTCTATTTCAATCTATATTCCTACGAATTCTCTATTAATAATATATATTTTTTTATTTTTTTATATATATATCTAAATAAATAAATAAATAAATAAATAAATGCATACACTTATATAATAAATTAGTTTTTATACATATTAATAATATAATCTAAGAACTAATCTCGCTACGGATTAAAGGATCTCTATTAGGAATCGACGAGAATAATGTTTTTATTTTTTTAAAGATAAAATAAAATTATAATTAAGTGAGAAGTAAAAGTGGATTAAAGAATGTTATAATAATGTGTTTGGTCACCCAATGAAGGGACAATGAATAGTAATAAGTCAAGGTGAATATGGAGTTCCAACGTGGTATGGACAGCAATTGTTTCCCCCATTTTCCAATTTAATTAATTCATTATATAATAATTAAAACAATATTTACATTTTTCTAAATTAAATTAATTGACTTTCTTTTTTTCATTCCTCAAAAATAAATATTTTTTTTTATTTGAGTTTGGTTTAATTTTTTAAAAATTGAAAGTCTGAGTTGATTCATGGTTTGACATTTTTTTGAGTTAAAGTCAACTCGACCTGTTCAAAAAAAAAAAAATAGAAAGTTAAATTAAATTGAATTAAGTTAGGAGGTATATTCTTATTAATAAAATAATTAAATAGAATTATATTGGAAAAAGTGCCGAATTTAATTAATTAATTAAAATAATTATTGTAATTAAAATTTAATTAATTATTTAAAAAAATAGAGAAGGCCGGCCAACACCATTACCAAACATGAAGGACAAGACAAAAGCATATAAATATTTGGAGATAAACTAGAAAGAAAATACGACATCCTTTTTCCTTTCAATTTAAATATTGACAAAAAAAAGAAAAAAAAAATCAGGTGGGTCCCTGATCTCAAATATGTTGCCACGTGGCACACTTACCATGCTCCACGCTGTCAATATGCCCATTGACATGTTACCCTAATAATTTCGTTTTAAAATATATATTTGAACGAACTAATTTAAATTAATAAATTATAATTATAATCAATAATTTTTATTTATGTTATGTTGTGCTCATACATTGGGTATGTTTTTTTTTTTTTTTTTAAAAAAAAAGTTATTTATGGATTATTTTATAAGAAAAGTACGTGATTTATTATATTTCTAAAATATAAATATTATTTTATCAGTCAAAGTCTACCGCTACCAAATATTGTCTGTTTTGCTCTGTTATGTATCACAGTCAATCTCACAATTTTAAAACGTGTATGTTAGAGGGAGATTTTCATACCCTTTTAAAAATGTTTCGTTTCTCTCTCCAATAACGAAGTTAACAACGATACGTAACGGGTTAAACGGATAATATCTGCTAACAACGATGAATTTAAGCGGTTAAAATTATTATTTTAATTTGAATGAAAGAAAATATGTGATAGCACTCTCTCAAATTTTCTTCCTCTTATCATAACCATAGCCATAGAGACTACTCTTCTTAACCTTTCTTTATAGGTAGGTTTATTGGACTAGCATCTTGCACAAATATAGATATCTTTTATCTCGATCACAATCCATTTTGTGTAGCTTCAACAAAGAATCTTAGGGAAAGTGAACCAAAGATTATGTTCAAATCTAAAATTCCAAACATTTCCCATCACGAAACTCATGTTCATACTCGAACGTTATAGAAACTAAAACAAAATAAGAAGAGTGTTAATGAATGGTGGTGTAAGTATCGATTCGTGTAACGTTTGGAAAAAGATAATCTTAATCAAAAGGGGTTTTTTAGCTCATAGATATGTGCATATCTAGGTATGTTTATCTATGTAAAACTATGTATATGTTATTAATTGCGGAAGATGTTTGTTATGTTTAGGGAGTTCATACTCGATCGTACGCGAGAAACATACCGTGGTTATGTGAAAGATTTCTAGTTAAGCGTAATAGATACAATATTTTTGTTTCAAGTCTAAGTTGATAATGCAACACGAGCAAAATAATTAGTAATTTACATGTACTATATTAGCCTAAGTTTAGCGAAAATTGTTCGCTTTGACCTGTTACATATCATATCAGCCTCACGGTTTTAAAATGCTTTTTCTATGGAGATGATATAGCTCTACTTCGACTAGTGGCTTGCATCGTCCGGTGACTAACTCTAATACTATTTGTAACAGTCCAAACCCTCCACTACGCTTTGGCCCACTACGTATCGTTGTCAGCCTCACGGTTTTAAATACGTCTGTTACGGAGAGGTTTCTACATCCTTATAAGAAATGCTTTGTTCCCCTCTCTAATTGATGTGAGATCTCACAATCCAACCCTCTTGAAAGTCAGCGTCTTCGTTGGCACACCGCTTGGTGTCTAATTCATAATTGTCTTCGTAAGTTTAGGGTTTAGGGTTTTAAAATGCATTTGCTATGAAGATGATCTAGCTCTACTTCAACCAGTGTCTTGTATCGTCCGGTAACTGACTCTAAAACCATTTGTAACAGTCCAAACTCTCCACTATGCTTTGGCTCATTACGTATTGTCATTAGCCTCACGATTTTAAATACGTCGGTTAGGGAGAGGTTTCCACATCCTTATAAAGAATGTTTCGTTCTCCTATCCAATGATGTGGAATCTCACAATCCAACCCTCTTGAAAGCCAACATCTTCGCTGACACACCGTCTGGTATCTAATTCATAATTGTCTTCGTTTGTTTAACTCAACAACTAAAATATCTCTCGTTTCTTACAAAACCCGAGACCTCATCAGGTAAAAATTTGCATATAATTAGGGTAAATTAGGGTTTGAACGACGACAATAATTGAAGAATCCACATGTAGTTCAGTCATGCAACAGCTTAGTCCATAAGTGGGGGCCTGAATATCAATTCTCTTGGTACACAAACGTGCATGCCCTTGAAAAGACCCTTATAATTTTTAACTCTGTCCTTAGTACAAACCGTTCAAATATTAAGCACATGTTCTTCACACTTCTCTGTGGCCTCTCTCTTGTTCAACATCACTTCACAAACAGCTTTCTCCTACTGCCCACCTTGCCTTTTCAGCTCTATGTTTGTATATCTCCTCGAGATCTTCAACAAAGTCATCGTGCGTTTATGTGTAAGAGTTGAAAGATCAATGTGACCTTCGCTCGTAGGGCTATGAAAATTATGCGGGTTGAGCTCAAAAACTTATAATAACATATATCGATATCACTACGGTTATGGTGATATAATGGATGAACTACCTGAGTCAATGAGCTTAACTTATACTTAATTTAGCTTTTGCATGAGATATTAGCGTGTGGAGCAAGTTTAAGAGAATTATTAGTGCTTTCTTCCCTATAAATAACTATCTAATGTAAGTTTTATTCACATTGTGCTCAAAGTTCTTTGGTACAAAGAAATTCTCCCTTCAAGTTATTGTGTTCTTTCTGTTTCCAGATCGAGAGTCAAAACCAACAACTATATATATATATATATATAGTTAAGAAATATGTTTATATCGTGAGACTCGTAAATTAGGGTTATAACGTGTGATGTCCCATATTGATTGGGGAGGAGAACAAAACACCATTTATAAGGGTGTGGAAACCTTCCCCTAGCAGACGCATTTTAAAACCTTGAGGGGAAGGCCGAAAAGGAAAGTCCAAAGAGAACAATATCTGCTAGCGGTGGATCTGAGTTGTTACAAATGGTATCAAAGCCAGACATCGAACGATGTGTCAGCCTTCTCAATGTTTCCCGAATGAGGGTAGACACGAGACGGTGTGCCAATAAGGACGCTGGGCCCCGAAGGGAGGTGGATTTGGTGGTGGTCCCACATCGATTGGAGAAAGGAACAAGTGCCAGCGAGGACGCTGAACCTCAAAGGAGGGTGGATTGTGATGTCCCATGTTGGTTGGGGAGGAGAACAAAACACCATTTATAAGGGTGTGGGAACGTTCCCTTAACAAACGCGCTTTAAAGCCTTGAAGGGAAGCTCGAAAGGGAAAGCCCAAAGAGAACAATATTTGCCTAACGGTGGGTCTAGGTCGTTAAATAACGAGCCTCTCATATCTTCACTAACGGTTCAACTTTAAGTTTGACTCGATTAAAAGAAGTTATCGAAGAAGTAGGACGGAAGGTAACGAAGTCTTAGTTATCGAAGAATCATCATAGCCTTTCAACATGTCCTTTCAATTGAGAATCATTATAGCCTTTCAAGATATGTCAAGTGAATAATAAGAAAGTTACTATATATTCATTTTTAGAGCCAAATAGCCAAAAAGTTAAAAGTGCATTAGAAAAGTAACTTTATGGGGAGGCTAAATCATGGAGAATCAAAAGCCATTAACAAATAAGGAACTTTCATTAATATTTGGCACTTGTTATTTTCATCTAGGTTTATAATGGTTCAAATTGAAACTAATTTACGATCGGGATCGAGTATGACTTGAGGTTCCACGTCTATAAAATGTGGCGTGGCAACAGTTAGAGGATAGGGTAAACCCACCATCGAACCCGTCACTTTCTTAGCTATTGACTATCGACCCGTTGGAGTTCCACATTGGATAGTTAAAATGAAGATTATGGGTATATAACTAAGGGACACAATTTTCACTAAAAACAAAACCACGACAACTTATGCTCAAAGTAGACAATATCATTATAATGTGGAGATAAGTTTTTCTTTCAGTGGTATTCGAGCCAGACCCTTATCTTAACTTAGCTATGTCCATAGGACTCTCAAGTGTCGAATAAAGAAATTGTCAGCCTGTTTAAAGGAAGGTTCAATGACGTACTTTATCTGAGAGCTTTAGAGGAGTCGTTAAGGGAGTTCAATGGTGTATTTTGTTTGAGAGGAAAATCGTTGGAGTCCTACATTGATCGATTAAGATGAAGATCATTGATATATAAGTAAGTGATATTATTTTTACTGACGTGAGACATTCTGAAAAATCAAAAGTAAAGTCATGAGAGCTTATACTGAAAGTGAACAATGTTGTCGTGGAGATCAATGGTACCTATTGGAAATCATGACGTGACCCTTTTGATCAAAGGTTATATTATTGTGTTTGATCCTTTCAAATGGACATGATACTAAGCACCAATCTCAACCACCAAAAGCCCTCCTGAGGAAGAAAATGGTGAACCTTGGAGGGTAGGGGCTAGTTTTTTAGAGCGTGACAAATTTTAGTGCTTTTTTTACGGAGTCATTATACCAATTAATAAAGTGGAGAAAATATAGAGTCCAAACTCACTACTAGTAGATATGGTATGTTTTGACCAATTACATATCGCTCTTAGTCTCACAATTTTAAAATGTGTCTACTAGGGAGAGATTTCCACGCCGTTATAAAGAATGCTTCGTTCTCCTCTCTAACCGATGTGTGATCTCACAATCCACCTCCCTTGGAGGCCAGCGTCCTTGCTGGCACACTGCCTAGTGTTTGGTTATGATATCATTTGTAATAGTACAAACTCACCGCTAGTAGATATTGTTTGTTTTGGCCTATTACATATTGTTGTTAGCCTCACGGTTTTAAAATGTGTCTACCACGAAGAGGTTTCCACACCCTTTTAAGAAATACTTCGTTTCATTCTCCAACTGATATGAGATCTCACATACAGTACACCAAATAAAGAGATTAGAGATAAAAATGAATCCAAGCTAGCAAGGTTACGAAAGATACCCCCTGTTGAAACTTTTAGCTCGAGTGGAAATGGCTCGTCTTTTAGTTTTTTGGGGAGAACTTACAATCTGTAATCAATTGACACGTGAAAATATAACATACTTTAGATATTGTCGGTTTTTACCTTATCATCCATAGAAATGAGAGAAATCTAATTCATTCCAAAACCTTATTTAAAGCTTGATTGTTATGATCGTCGTGCAAGACCCGGGATACGCGGGTATTATTGAAAATTATTGAAACTTTTAAAAGTGTGTGTTTTTATTAATTTAGTTTTACAATAAAACCATAGGTTAGGTGTTTTTTTTCATATAGTTTAGCATTAATTAAATAAGATAATGAATTCTCCGGTAAAATTTCACTCATTTTGCTGTTCGTCACCTACACGTCAATTAAGAAATTCCGATAATAACAACTCTGCTCCACTGCTCCACTGTGCTTTCGCGCTCGAATGATGCTCAAAAAATGAAACTAGAACGATCTTCTTCCAATTGGTCGTATCGAAATCCTGTTCGTATGGTGTCCGTTTGATGAAATTATGATCAGAGTAACAGTACTCCGTAAAAAATTCGACTCTGTGAACTCGAGTTATCCGGCATTGTAAAGTAGAAAGAAGCCCTAGAATTCAAGGAAGTCTGATATGGATGCCAAGGATATCTTGGGCTTGCCCAAAAATACGCTTCATATACCCCAAGAGAAGAAATCTAGGGCTCAGAAAGATGCCCAGAGGAAGCGAGATGGAATTTCCCGCGAGGTAATGTCTTCTCTGTGCCTGTGTGTTTGTATGGTTGTTGTTGTTGCTTGGTTTTGTTGCTTACAGTAGTAATGGTGGGGTTTTTGAATTTTAGGTTTATGCGCTTACTGGTGGTCTGGCTCCTATTATGCCGGCAATCGATACATCTGAGCTGAAGAAACGACCTCCATCAGATGAAAAGGTTATTTCGTTTAGTGCAATACGTGTTATCATCGGTTAGTATGTTGTTGTAGGCTTGAAAATGGTGAATTGAATATTGAAATTGAGGACTCTGTTTGTTATAGTCCTCTGTACTGATGTGAGAAATGTGGAAGCGCATTTTATTTGAAGGCTTCAGTGTGTTACCGAATTAATGTGGATTTTCAATTGCTCTGTTGCCTTTTCACTTGTTGCTTGGCTCATAATTGACTCATAAGTGCGTTAAAAATATATATTTATCTTGTATTGAATTTAGATGTGATCTGGTCTTGGAGTTGTTCAGGTTACGTTCGGCACGAAAGAGAGGCTGTTGCTTCATGCTAGAGGAGTTCTATGGCAGGCCTGTTTCATAGGTTGTTTGCCTCGAAAGTAGTAGAATTTTTAGAGGTGTTGAGCGATCTTTCGTTGAGGTGTGGGATAGTGTTAGATTTAACATCTTGTTTGGGCTTCTACTACTCAAGATTTTTATAATTATCAGCTTTGTTCGATTATTTTGGAGTTAAGTTTTTTCTTTGAGTGGACTACCCTTGTAGTTTTGTTTGCCCTTGCATATTCATTCATGAACTTGGTTTCTGTATATAAAAAAATGAATTCAGACTGTTCTTATAGTGTTCTTGTGAGTTTTCTCCAGATTACGTGGCAGTGGCTTCCTTTTGCAAATTCTGGTAGAAAAGACAACTTGCAGCTTTACCATTGGGTAGGATTTGGCACTGCTATGAATCGTGTCTATTTAAATTGATTTTTGTTATCGTTCAGTCATATTCCTATTTTTCATTTGTAGGTTAGAGTTGTAAATGGCATTCCACCAACAGGTGACTATTCCTTTGCAAAGTACAACAAGGTAAGAGCAAGTCCTCCTTTTTATTTATTGATTTGATATTTTGTATTCTTTAAATTTTGAAATTTAAAATTTCTTTCATTTTTTATGAAAACGAAAAGTTTGATATGCCCATTAACATCCATTGCCTTCTGCGTGATTCCAACATGCCAATTATTTGCTTGTTCATATGTTGGTCACTTTACAAGATATATATGGTTGAAGCCCTCCTCTATGGGTTGTGAGCAAGAAATTAAATTCTGAAGTTTCAATTTTATGGAAAAATATCGATGTTGATGGACATTGTTGAAAACATCTTGGAAATGAAAAAAAAAATGTTACATTAGTATTCCACACTTGTGTTATAAATCTTTATTATCAGTATTTATGTTTATATTAGTGATGTTTTTGTTGACACTTTTGATATTTTATTGGCATTTTTGGTAGACTGAAAATATTGTTAGCCCTATGTTACGTGGGAAGCTTCACAATTATGGAAATATTGGTGAATATAATTTTCCAAGTCTCAGGAAAAGATCCTCCATTTCCTCTTTTCTTTCTAACTCGTTATCCCTTATAATCGTGCATTGACCCTCTTGATTTTTTACTCCAATAACCCAATACTTTGGTTCTTACCCTTGTGATAGGAACGTTATTAGGGTAGAACTAGAAATATTATTAGGCTATTAAGAGTATATTAGTACTTAGCTAGGGAAGTTGTAAGGGTGATTTGTTATGCATAGAGGGAGTTGGAAAGGAAGGAGGTATGCATTGGTTTAGTTGGTTTAGGCTTGAGTATTCACCATTATCAGTATATTTCTTTGGTTTCTATCATCTTGGCAGGTGCGTACACTCCAGGAAGTAAAATGACTAACAGTGCTATTCATCTACTTGTTTTTCCAACATCTTATTGTCTGTCCATCCCGGAGTTTGAACATTGATCTCTCTCAAAATAAACCTTACATTTGTGAACAGATGATCTTTGGGTCTGAATGTTATTAGAATGGTGAAGTTTCTTATAGGAACCCTGGCCATAAGCTTCGCATTCTTAAATATTAATTTTTTAAACTATATTTTCGATTCCTTTGACTTTGCTTGCAATTAGAATGTATCCTAGAACTCGCTGATAATTTTATTTTTTCAACAATTATAACCATTTATTGAATAATTAAGTGCACATATCTAAAATTTTGTTATTATTAATCAAATATATTTTCTGCTTTGAATGTTGTGCAGTCTGTTGAAATTGTCAAATACACGGATGAGGATTACGAAAAGTATTTGAATGAACCTGTGGGTATATCCGTCCCTCATTTCTAACAAAGCGCATAGAGAACTCTCTCTCACCCACTCGCACAAAGTTTCATGATATGTAGCATTTTTATATAATGTTAAGGCATTTGCCTCGAGGCCCCTTTTTGAAAAAGATTGGCCTTCGAGGATCTTTAGGCTTACAGCAAAGGATTTTAAGTTGAAGCAATATCATGGCTTGAGTGTTTATATCCTATATGACAACTTATCCTTCTCTTCATATCATGCTGTTATATTTTCCATCTTTATTGTATGCTTGTGTCAAAGCTTGAAGGATAAAGTGTTTCCTACTAGGAATTATTGTGTGTACGTACTGATTTTAACGTTGGCATATTTTACAGATCTTACTTCTAAAATCAATAGTCTTTTTCTCTATGTTTTGAAGATATAGTAAGAAGGAAGATAAAAAAGGAGAAGTATCTGGTCAAATTTAATGAAAATGGTTATGAATTATTTTTTTTAAAAAAATAATATTTTAATATTTTTTAGAGGGAGCTATTCTGCAATGCTCTAGCATGGAAATGAAACATTGAATGTAAATGAGGGAATCATTATATTTTCAATGGTATGAGTATAGAATGGAAGTTTTTTTTTTTTTTTTTTTTTCCAATTAGCTACATTTCAAGGTTCTTCATGGCAGTCCTTATCTAAATCTTCTCTAATTATTCTCCTTTGTCATTAATACTTGAATTTCAAAATGCCTATACCTATTACCTTGGTTGCATCCAGACTTCGTTACCAATTTATAAAATTGGAGCATATCTATTATTCATTTTTGTCAGTCCACCTTTCCCGTGAATGGTTTGCGTCATTATTGAACAAGGTCTTACTGGTCAGTGTCCAAATGAGTAAGCATCAATTTGATGTCATTTGGAAGTCAACATCACATTTGGATGGACAAATGTTCGGATGGACCTCACTGTCACTCTCATGTTCTCGACTCTAGAAATCTGCTTTATCTTGATTTCTTTAGCATAGTTCTTTATTCTGTAGTCTTTTCCTTTTTTATTCTTTTATTTTTTTTTATGTGTTTGAGATATATACTTCTTAATGTTTTCAGTCATGGACAAAGGAGGAGACGGATCAATTATTTGACTTGTGTGAACGGTTTGATCTTCGCTTCGTTGTGATAGCTGACAGGTTTCCATCAACAAGGACAGTGGAGGAACTAAAGGAGCGATATTATCGTGGTACATGTAACTTTTTCTAGTCTATTGTGGCAAGCACTTTTTGTTTACTCTTAGGTTGCCAATTTGTGTTGTAAATTTTCTTTGAATCATTTACAAATGCACTTGTGATTATTGAAAACTTATGGTATAAGATTATATGTTTATAGCATCAAGAGCAATTTTGGCAGCTAGAGAACCAATGCCTCGGGAAAGTTCAGGGAATCCTCTAGCCAAGGTAGGTAATTTTGAATTGGATATATTTTGCAATTTTACCATTTTAAGTTGGAGTTCTTGCATATTAATTTCCTTTAAAAGATCCATGAAGCTTCCTATAGTTGAGGTTGCTTATCAAATTAACGACCTGTATGGTTTTCTTATTTATTCTTTATATGTAGGATCCTTACAATGTCTCACAAGAGACTGAGCGCAAACGGGCATTGTCCATGGTTCTCTCCCAAACAAAACAGCAAGAACGAAAAGATGCAGAGGTCTTGATTCTTTAATGTTTTAATAAATAGAAATACCCAATAATGAATTAGTGTTTATACATATGGATAAGTATAAGGCCTTATATTATTTTTTAAAAACTATTGATCGTTTCAGGTTCTAGCTGAAGCAAAAAAGATAACTGAATCTCGCAGAGATGAAAGAGTGAGTTCAAGTCGTATTTGCTAATTTTTTTAGGCATGGCGCTTTGCACATGAATGCACAAAGCAGATTACAAGTTCACTTCGAGATTAGGATTACAGGATGTCATGCTTGAAAGAAATTGCATTATTAACCCCTAGGTTTTTAATTATTGTGCCATAAAAATGTTAGTAGTATAAATGTCATGGTGTGCGGATAACCAAGCCATTGAGGTATACCTTCATCTCATAGGGTGCGAAACTTCAAAGCTAAAACTACTCATCTTCTTTACTATCAAGTTTATTCCGATTAAAGTATGTCTGTGCATTATCTTTTGGAACATGGCCTATAGCCAAGTTTAGGAATACCATCCCCTTCTGTCTGGACTTAGAAAGCATAACCAAATTTTATTTTGATGGTATGTATTTCTCAGTTCTCTCTCTCTCTCTCTCTCCCCCCGGGTGTCATTCCCTTCTCATATTAATAACTTATCCTATTTTATATATCTAGAGTTGGTTTATGATCTTGGTTTTATTCATTTTAGGTGCCTGAAAAATCTGAGCTGCCTGTCACTTTAAATGCTGTCCCTGGAGCTACTGAAAGGGCTGTCGTTCCTGGAGATTCTGTACCATCTGTATCCAATGTGCAGCCCCCTACTCCAGCAGCTGCACCTTCAACTTTAGTGGCGGATAATGCTTCTACTCTTGCTTCTCTTCGCATGGTATATGGCCTGAAGGAATTATATTTAGCTTCTGGCTGTAAATTTTGAGAATCCTTTTATAGCTTCACTCTTTATTTTATTTTTTTTCAATTTTGATATTTTCGTGCTGGATTGTGCTCTTGAAGCTCAATTGATCTATACCAAAATATAAAATTTGAGAATGTGCTCTGATAATTCCTACATGTCAGCTTCCTGTATACTTGAGAACGTATGCACTTGAGCAAATGGTACAAGCTGCAAGTTCATCTGCTGGGCTTCGAACTATCAAGCGAGTTGAACAAACATTACAAGATCTTTCGGTTAGTTAACTCTCCAGTTTTTGTTTAATGCAAATATTTGTTATCTCTTAAAGTGGTGGTTGGTGGAAGATTTAACTATGGTACAACAACATAGTAGCTTGTGAGAAGAAAGAAAAAAACAAAGCAAATAGAAAGTTTCTCTGTTTTGAATTTTTATTCTTTGCTATCAAGAACACCCAAGTAAATACTGGTGGTGGTGGAATATGCTTTTTTTTCTTTGTTTTTCAAAGCAAAAACTCATTCCACTTGGAAGCATGTAGTGCATAACTACAGAACAATATTTCATGGATTGAATCAAGCAAATTGTGTTTTTTGTTAATCTGTTAGACTTTCTTCAGTAGTCATTTCCTCCCCAGTGCTCTTCATGCTCTAGAGTTACATAGTTGTATAGTTCTCTCACAAAGGATTTTATTATTTTTATTGTTATTTATAATTAGGTTAATCTAAAGCCGAGGGTTCCAACAAAATCAGTGTGTGCAGAACATCTTGAATTGAGGAAAGAAATATTGACTCTACTGAATCTTCAAAAGCAGGTATGGTTATATTTTATTCATATGCATGTCCCAGCAGTAACAAATTGATGTAAATCAAACTTGCATTAATTTTCCGCTCATAACAGTGGGTTTAGTTTTTCTTCTCATTTGGAGAGAATTCTCATCAAAGGAATTCTTTATTGATGGAACTGACTTAAGTCAAATGCTATATGCCTTTAACATACTTTAAGTCCAATTTTTGTTGTCATTTCCTGTTTCTTTCAAACAGTTGCAAAATAAGGAGGCAGAAGGTTCATCTTTCCGTGAGGGTCCCTACAACGAGGCACCTGGCACACCCAAGGTCAGTAAATGCCCTCGCTTTCATGAGTGCTGCAGTTCTGTCATATCTTTGAATGTAGATCTTCCTCTGCTAACAGCATTCTTGTCATGCTCTGGTGCAGGATCGTAGTTTTATTCCTGATTCTATGAGTTCTGGAGGTAAGTGGATTCTGAAATAGAACTTCGATGTTTGGCCTTACTGCATGCATCTCTTTGGTGCTACATTTAGTTCAAGTTATTTGAAGCTATCTAGTTTCAATTAGCGTTTTAAAAGTGTAAAAATCATTATTTGCAACTTGCTTCTCACTTGCCAAGAGGTGAGATGCACAAGCAAAGCATCAGCTGGCTGAAGCATGACACCTTAAAGTTGTGAAGGTCTTAAACAACAACGTCATTTTTTTTTTTTTTTTTATGAAGATAAGTAATTATTTCTCTGATATATAGAATGTACAAAAGGAAAGATGAAAGAGTGCCTACAACTTTAGAGGAAGATTTTGGTTCTTTGAAGAAGTTCTATTTATACCCTATCAAACTTTGGCTACATGCCACCAATGGGAAACAATCTTGGAGATCGCTTTCCTTATTCCTCCTCTTGTTGTAGTTCGTCCAAATCCTTCTTTAACTATTCTTCGTTCTCTATTTTAGCCCATTGAAGTGTATTCTCCTGTAGCTCCTTTGGTCGGGCTTCTCTTTCCATTATTTTGTACAGATAATTCTTCGGTGAAATTAGTTTCTATCCCCTTTTAAAAAAAATTAGGAATGTAAGAAAATTGAGGTGTACGTTTGTGTTCAGGTTTTTTCTCAGTTAAAGGACTGGAAGTGAAGTTTATGTTATCCCCCTTAAAAGGAATTCGATTATTTTTGTTGCGAAAGTTCATTTACATGTATGTTTTTCTTCTGATAGGGGAAAGGTCTGGCAAACGGGATCAGAAACGTAAGGTGTGTTTTGTCAACTACTATCTTGTTACTTCTTGAGTTTTCATCGCTCTGTATTTTGTTTTATGTGTCAAATTCTTTTTCTTATTTAGGTTAAATTATAATATAATAAAAATATTGTGAAATTTATGTTTTGTTTAAAAAATCCCCCTAATCTTTCAAAATTTCTAATATCATCCTTGATCTTTCATTACGTTTCAATACTATTTTTTGAGTAGAAATCTATTAGAATGTTGGACAAAGAAAAAAAAACATGGAATAACATGATTGTGACAATGACACTTGTTTAGATCGGTCCGAAAGAACGACATTTTGATATGTCGATTTTTTATCCAACATGCTGACGATTTTTCTATTTAAGGAAAGTTTTGAAACACTTGTAAAAGTTGAAGGGTAATATTACAACTTTTGAAATATTAGGGGTATAATTTAAACAAAGTGCAAAAGTTAAAAGGGTATTTTTGTTTTATAATTCAGCCTTCTTATTTATTATTTATCAATTATGGTCATTAGGCAACTGGGAGATTATCTGAAGCTCCATCACCCCCAGCTCAAACTAAAAGGCCAAGAAAACAGAAAGGATCTGATCTGTGATTCTCCAGGCGTGTAAGAAATTTATGGTTGTACCTCTAGTATTGTATGCGCCTAAAAACTGTTTTCTTCATTTATTTTTCTGGTCTCCCCCACCCTTTTTGAATAGAAAGAAAAATGGAAAGAACACAAGTCCATGAAGTGGAACCTTCTTTTGTCCTCCATTTGATTTCTGTTTCTATTGAATCATTGATGGTAGGTTTAACATACTATGATGGCTGCATATGGTTTCATCATCTTAAGATATCGATTACAATTATATAAATGCATCTGAAAGGCTCGAGCTCGAGCAGGTCACTTTTGCTGGAAGGCACATCTTCATCACAAAGCCAAAGCTCTGCTTTTGTAGGTCTATTAGCTAGACTTGTCTTTCTTCTGCTGGCACAGTTAGCAGGATAGCTCCTCTAGTATGATGGTGCATTTTCTGTATATCTACCCAGAAATGAGGAAAAATTACTTTCTTGTATATTACTTTCATTTTTATGATGGTGTATTTTTGTGTTTTTTACAATTACTTCCTTCACATAAGCACATTGAGATCTCTACATTCCTATTCTGAAAAGATGAGCACCAACAACATTTCATAAATGCAGCAGCTATACATAATTCCCTTGCTTCAATAACTTGGGAAAAGGAGAGTTTGTATTGTATTATCTGGGGTTCTTTCTTGAATAGCTGCTTTATTCCTGTGCCGATTAGATTCAAGGCCCTCATACTTCATGAGGCAGTCAGCCACTGATGATCAATATTACTTTCCACGCTCCTGCTGTAGTTCTTTATGGCGAGCCTCCACATGCCAAGGTGACCATTTATTGCCTGTGTTTATGCAACATTCAGCATTAGTACTAAATGCCTTACTCATTGCAGGTCAGTCTGTTTTTGTTTAGACATCAGCAATCAGCATAAGAATGAAGGCATTAGTGAAAACTCGATCTAACTCGTTTTGTATTTGTTCATTTACAGAAAACTCACCTTGAATGTCGTCTCATTTGGTTCATCATATGCTTGGCATATTTCCTTCACGAAATCTCCGAACTTTTCCTTCCATACCCGTTCAATTCCCATCCTTCATGGTGCTTTTTGAACTGGGGTTAGCTATCGCATGCGCCTGAAGAAGAAAAGGTTTATCGTTGTTTTCACTTTCAAGAATGAACAATGTACACATGTATTTAACCCGTTCCCTGATTCCATTTTCTAAAATCTTTTTTCAAGAATGATTCAAGGTGAGAATAAGTGTCGTATTAATCACATTACGAGTCTAGAAAGAGTGTAGTTGTGACACAAACTAGATTAATTTCTATACCATAAGTTCAATTTATCTCAAGTTAGTATATTGTATGTTAACTAGTGTACCGCTAGATATCACATTGCCCACGTCCCTTGTGATTTTTCCCAATAAGAGGGGAACCATGTGAGGGTATTGCTTGAAACAACCCGTGCACTTACATGGAGTTCTTCCACCCACAAATCGTATCAATTGCTAACTAGGTAGGATTGTTCAAGATGTCTTAGGCGAGATGGGTTCAAATCACGTAGGCTTGGAGCATTAAATCACGAGCTTGGTTCCCAAGCGAAGAATGTGAATTTCTAAGCTCTTTCATACATGTTGCAACATTTTGGATCATATTAGATCAACCAGATGTCAAGTATCTTTAGATCATCACATAATATCTTAGACGTTCAAAATTGATCTTCATTTTTAATGAAAAAGTTGTAGTGATTTAGCTTGAGCTATTACAAGTTGATTAAATTGGTTAGTAAAAATAAAATAAATAAAAAAGAAAAGAAAAGGAGCATGCCATTTCCATTGCTTCCCAAAAGGCCGTTGTAGTATCCATTTGCCATTCCAAAAACGGTCACAATGGGTTTTAGCTTTTAACACAGATCCAATCCAAAATCCACAAGGTTTTTTGTTTTAGTGCCGCCACCGCAGAATGGGGGAATTCGATTCCCCTTCGACCCACCTCCACCGTCATCCTCGCCCACCCTTCACCGTTGGCTCTGAAATTGAGATCTCCATTAACGAAGAAGGCTTTAAGGGCGCATTGTTCAGAGCCACCATTCTCAAGCTCTCCACTACTTTTTTTCCTTCGACGAAGAAGAAGGCCTTTGTTGAGTACAAGACCCTTGTCACTGAAGACGGGTCTAAGCCTTTGAAGGAGCATGTTGATGCCCACAATTTGAGGCCTATTCCGCCTGATATCGCCGGTAGGGATTTCGAGGAAGGCGACATTGTTGATGCAGCTGATAAAGATGGATGGTGGACTGGTGTGGTCTATAAGGTTTCTGAAGATGGTGGATACTCTGTTTTCTTCAAGAATCCAATGCATGTCATGGATTTTCAAAGGAAACAGTTGAGATTGCATCAGGATTGGGTTGATGGCAAGTGGCTTGTCCCCAAAAAGATGGTAAACTTATCTGGGTTTGCTTTTGATGCTCGAGCGAATTAATTGTTAGAATCATAAGTGCGTTAGGCGTTTTTTTTTTTTCTGTGTTTTTTAGGCATTTAACGCTGTTCATTTTGTGGATTATAAGTTGAAATGAGTGATTGTTCATTTACTAGCTCGATGTATTTTGCTTGGTCAGCTGCTAGGTTCTGCTAGACTTGTTAGAAAACTGGTTGACGAAGACTATAAGTGCGGTCCACCTTCGTAGTTGGATCTGTTTTTCTTTTCTTTTTTGTGTTGGTTTGATTAAAGATTCCTGACGAACGTACTCTAATTTAAAATGGTATCAAACGATTCTGGGTCTTCTTTTTGGCCACTAAGAGTATCTAGTGATTTTGTTGCCACCAATGGTAAGTTTGAAGGTGTAGTTTAAACTCCAACAATACGTTCTTTTTTGTTGAAGAAAGTTCCATCAATTTGCAATCAAGGAAGGTTCCTTGGTTGAAGTTTAGTGTGAAGTTTAAGCTTTGATATAGGCATGGTTGGTGTAAGAGATTTTGGAAGTCTTTGGAAGGTATCTTTAGGAATAGCCTTTTCGCTTCGTTGTTGGAATGTGGGTATGGATGGGAATCAAGTCATGGTAGGGTTGGGGACGGAGAATATATTCATGCAAATCATTTGTGATTGATCTACCAAACTGAGGGTAACATCTCAAGTATCTATGAGAATATTTTTCTTTGAGAGTTCGGAGGCAAACTGCTGTAGGGTTTGTAGCTAGCCTGGTTAGTATCATTTCTGATAATTTATTTGGTCTAGTTATAACTGCTGACGTGTGTGTGAAATGAAGGCTCATTAAGAATAAAAAGTTATGTGTATTGACATATTAGAGCTGGACGGCCTAAAATTTGTACGGTTTACAAGTTACATCCATTCCAAAGCTTCTTAATGGTAAAGCATGCACCATGAAGTATGTAATTTCTGATGTTATGTTATAGCTGGTTTTTTAAAACTTTTAGGAGAACAGAAAATGTTTTTACCACTTGTATTTCTCCAAAATGCAGAATCGACATCAATCACTCTGACAAAATCCCACTTTTTGTAATGAACAATTAGCTTCCCGTCATGTAACTAGGCTTCATCTTTGATTAATTATCCTTCTTTATAATTATGTGGTTCCCTTCTAATTTTCCTCATTGTTTGGAGTTCATTCACCGTGAAATATTTCATTTGAACTTTTTATGGGAGTTGTTATGGTGAAAGGTAATACCTGATATCTCTAGCTGTGCAACAGTTCTGCATAATTGTGTAGTCCATGTTACCTAATTTTTTCCATTGCTTTACTTGGATTATCATTGAGAACTTTGATATCACATTGAAAGTCATGTCTTCATTAAATACATTTACTTGAGGTTGAAACAATTATTTCCTGTTTAGGATGCATCAATCTTGAAAGATCAGTTGGCTTCCATTTTGGAGGATGCTAATATACCTGAGAAAGCCCAGACTGAAAGTTCAAAAAATGCTGAAACTAACCATGAAAAGGGAAACTCAAGGAATGATTTAGTGGAACAGCCAAGTATTTGTGAAGAAAAGTCTGCCTCATTTGCCTTGACCTCAAGCAAGAGAAAAAGTCGGAGTTCTGAGGCAAGAGTTTCAAATTCTGTAAAGAAGTGGGGAAAAGGAAATGTTCCTGGGGCACCAACAGCAGATGGGTTGAATGAGACAGAAAGCAAAACATCGAGGGGAAAATCATTCATTAAAAAAAATGCCACATCGAACAGAGGTCGTAAAAGAAGAACCTACCATAATTTTCATTGTGACGATAACAGCGACTCACCTGGTAAATTTAAGAGTTCGAAAGGAGACATGAAAGCGGTAATTTGTCTCTGTGCTTCGAATCCTTCATTACGTATTTAATAAATCTAATTTATAGCAGTCCGAACCTCATCTGGGAAATTTTCATATTTTAATTAAAGGAAATCTATCTTGATTGTTGTCATTTACTTTTGCTTTTATGTATCAAAGTGAACTTTCCAAGAGCTGAACTGAGGTCACTGACTTGAATGTCCCAAAATTTCCTTGGGCAGTATATATGTGTAGTTCCTCCTCATTTCCTCGGTTTTTTCTACTTGCCATTGCCTATGCCATTAAATCAGTTAAAACTTTTGTAGGGCATTCTTCTCTTCATTATTCATGTTACTATGATTTTAAACTATTGAACATGATACTTCTCATTTCATGTGCAGAGAACTGAAAAAGATGTTGATGGAAATGATGAGTTGAAAGAGCAAGGGGCAAGATTCATAAATGGTAACCGAGGAAACACATTTGAACAAAGCCGGTGGATTCAAGTTACAGGTACACAGGCTGTCCTTTTTTGCTTGAATAACTCTTTTATTCTGCATTTGGCTTGGCAGATGAGGAAGGGAAAGAAGATTGTGATGTCTTAGAGGTCACTCATAAAGAAGTAAGTACAAGCAACGAATCTGAAGGGAATAAACATTTAGCATCTGAAGAGAAACAGATGACACCGGCTGAAACTTCTATTCACCTTTCTGATGAGGTTAGAGGTGGAGAGAAAAATTCAAATAATCAGACAGAAGAAAAGGGCTTGGTAAGAAAACTAAACACAATTAACTTGATATAAATTAAATGGATTTTGATAATGAGCATCTGTTATCATGACTAAACCTTGTTACTAATTAACTACTGTATTCGATTTTATAAAAGCAATATAGATATGGATGATTCTGTTCGTTTACTTGTCTGAATCACTCTAAAAGTTATGAACAAGGTAAGAAAGAGATGCAATGAAGAAGAGGATAGGAAGAAAATGTGGAGGCATGATTTCTAATTGGTTTCAAGGTTGCTAGTTGAACAGCTTCCACAAAAACTTTTGCAACTCTCCCTTCCTTTTTGAAGTCTATCAAATAAGAATCCTCTGTGGGTTTCCTTGGATAATATAGGAAGACACCAACTCGTCTTTTCTCCTATAGATTCTTTTAGTTTGATACAATATTTCTCTCAAGGGAAGAAAAAAATATCCGTATGACCTCTGTTTCCCTGATGATAAGACGAAATTCTTATGGATATCAATTCTACAGAGTTAAGGCTTACTCAAAAGCTTGATATACTGCCAATTATTTGTTATCGAAGGAATATCTTATCCATCTGAGCTATAGCCTACACTGATCATTCCAATTTTCGCTGAAGAGGAGACAAGATTCTCATTGATCCTGTTTCTATAACTGGTACTTTCACTTCCTAACCACGAAGTACCCTCCCCCTTAAAAGGCTGTGGAAGATGAAAACGACAAAAACTGAAACCACAAGATGGCTAATGAAGAGATTCCTCTAAGGATGTATATTGCTTCAAACTGGAAAAGTTGAAGAAGCTATAAACAATGATTGTACAGGTGGAGCATGAAAGAAATGAATGATACTCGAACCTCTAAACTCTAAAGTTTACTAAGTTATCCTTCATATTTCATTTCTTTCACCAGTTTGTGAGATTGGGCGTATGTTTCGATTTATGTCTTCGATGAGCTTAGAGTTTGACAGGATTGATGATGTGTATCGTCTCTCAGGACCCTGACCAGCAACAAGCTAGTAAAAACAGTAACAAAAGAAAGAGGGGACGGCCTAAAAAATTGATGATAGTTCCAATAACTGCAGAAGGTATCCTGTTATTACCTGTGATTGAGTTTTATTATTATTTCTTATTTATTAACTTTATATTACAAGTAACTATGATTAACGTAGTGCTGTTTTTGTGTTACAGATAAGGAGCAAAATGGAATTGGATGGAAGCCCGACGAAGCAACGAT